CGAGGGGTAAAAAGTATAACTATTGCACTGTGTTGTGCAGCTGAAACTAATTCTAAAAAATGTGTATTTCATAATAAAAAATTAAAAGAAAAAAATAAATAAAAAAGAATACATGCTATATGTTTCCATTTACAGAAAGTTCAACAACAAGCAAAACTAATCTTTGATATTAGAAGTACAGACAGTGATTACCTTTGAGGAGAAAAGAAGAGGCAGAAATTGGGAGGAAGCATGAAATGGGCTCCTGAGATGCTGGTAGTTTTGTTTGATCTGGATTTATTTACACATGTGTTTTTACTTTGTGATACTTCAATGAGATACGTATTTATTGTCTCTGTGCTTTTCTATATGTATGGTATACTTTAATCAAAAAGAAAAACAAACCTAACTAGATCATTTCTCCTAATTAAAGATTCCAACTCTCCCTTAAGTACCCTTAACCAAAGAATAGCTCTTCTCTGTAAAAGACATCCTCATCCATAAGGCAATCAGTGCAGGGATATAAAAAAGTGGTAAAGGACACTCACTCACCAAGCCACCTATCAAATCAACTCTGGCAATCAGTGGGGTGAAACCTGTTCTGCCAGATCACCCCTCAAACTTCATATGACTTTAATATATGATACAAACCCACAGCAGGGACTAGCAGTCCCCACACTTTGGCTCCGGTTCATGTTCTCGTAGATAGAAAGATCTCAATCTATTTCGAAACCCATGAACTTTCGCTCAGCAGAAGAAGGAAGCAAACTAAAATGAACTGATCTCCAACAGGTTATCAGGCATTTTAGATGTGTTCCCTTCTTCTTACTTCACAAATTCCTTTGCGGTAGATACTGTATCTACTTAACAGAAGAGACAATGATGCTCAAACACATTAAGTAATTTGGCCAAGATCACAGATCTGGTAAATGAAGACGTAAAATGAGGATTCCTTATAGGACCTTCCTTTGCAGGACTTGTAAGGATTAATTGAATTCATAATGGTATAATACTTATGAGCTTATGCTGTGGAGCCAGACATCGTGATTCTTTATTCACAAAATTTTATAATCTTTTTCATTTTAGTTCTCAGGAGCCATTTTTTCCTATCATACAATCATATTGAAAATAAGCAAAAAAACTAGTATGTACAGAAACATGTTAGTATATACTGTCTTAAAGAACCCACTGATAGCTGGAGGAGAGGTGTGCAGCCATTTCAGAACAACTGCATCCTCATCAAAAATATTGCTAAAAGAGTACATGAAAGAATTTGAGATCTGAGAACATCATGATACCATTTGACGTAGTCAGAGGTTACCTTGGTCACTGCACGTGCGAGGGCCAAGCTGTGTGTGAGGCAGCAGCGTTCTAGCTGAACCTCACATAGCTGCTCTGCCCCAGCTGCTTCCCTGTCCTACTCCCAGTACCCACTCCTTCCACTCTCCCAACATCCAGGGGGCCATCTACCTTGCCCCACGCTCACACACGAAATCAAGCTTCTATTCCGTAGGAATTGCTGGGTCCTGACTAAAAAAAGCAGCTATATTAATAAATTTAAATAATTCACAAAATATAAATGATCCTCTCAGAAATTATATTTTAAAAGGAGAATATTTATTCAAATGACTTAGTGTTACCAGTAATATCACCTAACATCTTTACAGATATTGTTTATAAGTACTTTAATAAAGACCATTTCATTTTATACCATAAAAATCATCTGAGGTATGTATTCTTAGACCCACTTCAGAAATGAGGAAACTGACATGGAGAAAATTAAGTATCATTCCCAACATGACGCCGCTGGAAAGCAGCAGAGCTAAGGTATTTTAATATTAAGTCCTCTGCTCATTCTACCACATATACTTCAATTATTTTGCATCCTCTTCTTAGTCACTATGTCACTGGCCACCACCACTAGCCACAGGCCCAAACAAAACAACAACAACCAGGCATCAGAAACTCGGAATTGCACTCTAAACGGTTGCTAAGCTTTGGCTAAGCAACCGTTTTTCTGAGTAATTTTTAAGAAAATTATGATATTTGGGAGGGAGGGAAGGTTTGCAATACAATAAGTTTAAATTGTGACACATGTTTAAAAAAAGATCATGCAAAACTAAGTCTTATGTAGAAAATGAATTATTCTGTGCTTGGCATTTATATGAGTAGAAAAATAACTTCTTCAATTAACCTTTTTAAAAATTATAATTACTACTTTTTAGAACTACCATACGGATTGTCAGAGAAGACACACCTAAATGAATAGTCAAAGTAGTACTTTAATTTCTCCTATCTTGTGCTGACCTCCATAAAAATAATACTTAAAGAAATAACAATTCCTAAAGCAAATTGAAAAGCACACAAATAGAAAAGATGACAGAAAAGAATCTTTTGCATATGATTTATTAAATTTTCAAGAAATGTGCCACTTACAAACTTTGAAACACTATCCATTTGATGGAAAAAAAGGAAAATATACCTTTATTCTCCTATACATATGAAGAAAATAAGAACACTGTTATTTTTTCTCCAATGCTTAAAGATCATTTTTTTTATTTATTAGTATTTATTAGTATTACTAGTAGTAATACTGCTTCAAGTTTATGAATACAAGGTATGACAATTAAGTTCACGAACTTGTTGCAACGATGTTGCTAACCTTTTTTGATATCAGAAGGATTATTCATTATGAATTTGTACCAAATGGACAGTTAACCAAGTTTACTATTTAGAAGTACTGAAAAGAATGCGTGAAACAGTTAGACGACCTGAACTTTTCGCCAACAATTCATGGCTCTTGCATGACAATGCACCAGCTCACACGGCACTGTCTGTGATGGAGTTTTTAGCCAGTAAACAAATAACTGTATCGGAACACCCTCCCTACTCACCTGATCTGGCCCTTGATGACTTTTTTCTTTACCCAAAGACAAAGGAAATATTGAAAGGAAAACATTTTGATGACCTTTAGGACATCAAGGATAATACAATGACAGCTCTGATGGCCATTCCAGAAAGGAGTTCCAAAATTGCTTTGAAGGGTGGACTAGGCACTGGCATCGGTGCATAGCTTCCCAAGGGAAGCACATCTAAGGTGACCGTAGTGATATTCAGCAATGAGATATGCAGCACTTTTTCTAGGATGAGTTCGCGAACTTAATTGTCAAGCCTCGTATGACGTAACAATTACCAAAAAAGCTATAAACTCATCCCTAAATAAAATCATTCCTCAGTGAAACCCAAAGGACTTAAATACTATATTTAATTATATACTTTCTCCTTTTACATTTTCTTTTTCTAGAAATAGTTTCCCTAAATAATTCTTCCTTCTTGTAGAATCTATTTGAAATGGCTGCCAGCACAAATTCCCACTGGATTCAAGGACATCAGTGCTGAGGAGCAGTAACTGCAAGTTAATTCCCAGGAAAGTCAGGGGATGAGTATTTGCTCACAACTCAGTCTCACCCAGGAACCAGTCACGGATCCTCTCCCCTCTCTTGAAAACCCCTCTGCTGCCATTTCCCCTGGGCACCAAGGATCCAAGACATTCAACTCCTGGAGAGATTTTTAGTGATAAGCTTGAATTAGCACAGCTTGTCTTTTGTTTTTTCCTTAATTCAGAAAATGCTTGAATCTACAGCTAAATTAAAAGAGGCCTGAAATCCAAAACTTCTGAAAGGTACTAATGGTGAGCACAAGTTTAGATGGTCATCTTCTCTTAATGCAATCTCAAACACACATTCAAACACACATTGAATCCCTCTGAGTAATACTTTCCAGAGGAAAAAAAAGAGCAAAGCAAAGAAAATGTGCTAAGAGATATAGAAGGTTACTTTGAAAGTAACTGTTCCCCAGCCTTAGGTATATTATTATCTCCTGTTACATGGAGAGAGTGTAAGTATTATTAATTGAAGGTTTCTAAAAGGGAAACCAGACATTCTTGCCTCCTTTCTTTCACAACCCCACAATTAAAGTGGAAAGGTCAAAGGTAAGGATGAAAGTAAACAGGATCACTTTCCAAACTGCCTGTGAAATACAAAGTTATTCTAATGTTTAAAAAAATTTTAGGTAATCCTTTATATAAATTATAAAAGTAATATATTTTTTAAAGATTTTATTGGGGAATTGGGGAAGGGGAACAGACAAGTTGCTGTCCTTTTGTTCTTCAGTCTAGTGTGGAGGACATCGCTTCACTGGCCCATGTTAATATTATCATTGCGCTCTTCCCGGGTGAGGCAGTTGCTCGCCGGTCATCAGACAGCCGCTCAGGGAGGCTCAGGGTGGCTCACACCAGCTGCCGGCCAGCCCCACTGCAGCCTACGCCATCGCTGGTGACTCATGACAACCCAGCTCCAGGTCAAGCTGTTGTTCACCACCTTAGCTATAGCAAGCGCAGCATGTGGGATCTGGCCCTCATGTGGGATCCGAACCGGGGTCCTGATGCTCAGAGCTGGCGTCCCAAGCCAACTCCTAACCAACGCGCCACTCGGCCAGCTCAAGTAATTTTATATCAAGATTACTAACACGGGGTCAGTGGCTAATGAAAGACCTATAATGAAAGCTTCTGACCACACTCAAGTTCATCTAGATTCCAGACCACTATCACTATATACATAAACACTGAAAGTTACTTATGAAAATTAACAAAGAGATGTAAAATTGCTTTTTAAGATTTTACACCTTTCTTTATTCTTCATTTTGATTTTAATGGAATTCGACATTGTCTACAATTAAAAAGAAAAGAAAGACGGGGGAAAACACTCCTAAGGAAGTGTGAAAAGACATAACTAAAGATAAATGAAAATTTTCTAATCAGGTAAAAATTTGTACTAACCCACAGATTTCTACCTTCTTACAGCGTTTTTGAGAATAAATTTTCAGCTTCCAATCTACCACATACCATTTGTACATGGAAGAATATTAAGACGTAAATTTTTGTTAAAGCAAAATGTTCACTCACCAAATGTCTGAGCTCTTTCAAATCCCGGCAGACGGTGTAGAAAACTCCAAGAAGAATATTAATGTAAGCAGCATAGAAATCAGATGAATACTCTGGAGGATGATCATGAGACAGGATCTTTTGAAGGTTCCCTATTCACAGGACACAAAAGGACACAAATGAACTCAGAATGATTAATACAGCATCCTAGTTATATCTTCTAGCGTTTTATAACAAAGGTTTAAAATAATAAATACGTAGGCCTAGCAATAATTAAGGAATAAAAATATTAAAAGATTAGAAAAGTTATACAAATTTTGAACCTGAGGTAAATCAATTATAAATCTGTTCTAAAAAAAAATACTAATGTTGCTTAAGACAAATATTAAACAAACAATGGCATCTGAAGAAAATCTCAAGAACCTTATTACTAGTAAAATCGTATCAAGGACAAAAAAATAATATATTCTATTTTATTTTTCTGCCTATTAAGTATATCAACTTGTAAAAACAAGGAGTACTACATAAACTAGGGGTACTACCACCAAACTGGAAAATTCTCTTCATTTTTTGCAAAATGAATTCATAAATATTTTAATGAAATTGTCACATTTTGTCATTCTCTCTTTTATAGAACATTTTCTCCCTACAACTTTGGTATCTTTACTTCTCTTCTATCTTAAACTCTTTATACAATATCATGTTTAGACTCCTAAACTTATATTTAATTCTTTTGGAAATATCATATTGTAGAAGCACAGTTAAAATTAAAGAGACACAAGCATCTATTATTCAAACTTTCCCAGTTACAGTACATGAAACCATTAAACATTCACTCCTCAGTGCAATTCTCTCTGAATTGGTGCCATGGTCTCTACACTTCTTAAGTTAGAACTCTATGAATATGATGACTGGTGCTTTACACCTAGTTCCACAGGGTTCAAGACTTCTGCAATACTTACAAGTGAAAACTCATACAGAATGTTCTGAGCGTGTCATTTTCCTTTTGTTTAAGGTTCTGATTAAGTGAGCATTTTTACCATGGATACCATGCCATTTACCAACAGCTCTTGACTTTAACCACTCTCTTATTCTCCTATTCCTCACAATCAGTTAGACATGAGTGCAAGATCAAACAATATATGTGGACTATCAATCGACAGTCATAAACAGAAACTTAGAAATAGCTATATTATAGAGATCTTTTAAACATGGCAGTTGATCCAAAAAAAAAATTTTTTTTTCAAAGCTTATTTTCATGCTTAGAATATTATCCTGAATGGATTCCAGATGGAAGACTGTTACTTGATCTGCATTTTTATATCACAGCTACTGAAAAAATGCACAAAGGCTAAAACTTGACTTTAGAGTTCATGTACTTTTATATTCTAATAGCAAAATTTAAATCTAATGTCACTAAGCTTTTTTAAACTACGCATGGGAAAATATCTGATACACTAAAAATTTCCAAAGGTGTTTTAAAACTTGGAGATAAAGATATTTTTGTATAAAAGTCACCAAGTAACTGGATAGATGGAAGGAGGGAAGGCAGGAGGGGAGACAGATGAACATACACAGGCAAAAACGATGGTCTACAAATGCACAGATGAGGAAATTGGGAAAACAGCTAAGTCTCCAGCTCAGGATGCACTTCCGAGCCCCTCCCGAACATCTCTATCTAGATGTTCCTTACTAGTGCCTCATGTGAAAGCTGACTGCTGATTAAATGTTATCACCGGCCCATTTCAGTCCTGATGAAAGTCTTATAAGAATTAGAACTCTTCGCTGTTACTGTAAAAGTAACCCAGCTTAGTCACAGACCACAGACAAAATCTCAGAGTACAGCTTCGCATTAAAGTAAGCCATGCCAGCTCTGATAGTCTAGGACTATTCACACTTATTAAGAATCCCATCTCTAACAAGAAGTTAAAAACAGTGCACTAACAGGTAGTAAATAAAGGGAAGGAGAAACCATTTGACTGGTTTTCTGGTATCTTAAAATTTCACCATCAAAATATAATCTAACCTATTAGAACAACACTTCTAACTTGGAGAGGGGCTTCTGTTTCAAGCCGTGAGGGAGCAAGAGGACACAGAAATACTCTCCTGTAATAACGAAAAACTGGTCAAATTACAGAAAACAACTCTTTTCAGCCACCAAACAACAGGCAGTCTAGGACGGTGATACCTGAGAAAAGGGAAATAAATGAGGTAAATCTCACCTTCAGCCAAGCTTTCTAACTAGGGGTAATTTTAGAACTGATATAAGGAGAATTCCAAAAGGAGTCCATTAATCTCACTGAGTTAAGAGACAGAGATGATGGTAAGTGGAGCTGAAATTAGCCATAAATAAAGGCTTCTCTACATTCTATCTCCAAAAAAGCTTAAAAGTAGCCTTAAATATAGCTTCAAGTAATTTAAATGCTTACCAGAAAAGAGTCCAACACGCAATAACAAAAAAACACAGTATCATTCAATCAAAAATTACTAAACACACTAAGAAGCATAATGGATAGCCAGAATAGAGAAAAATCAGTCAACAGAAACAAACCCAAAATGAAAGAGGTAATGGAATTAATAGACAAGGGCATTAAAACAACTGTAAAAAATATGCTCATATGCTCAAGGAGATAAAGACAACAAAAGCATAATGAGATCTATAATGAAAGATTACACTGGATGGGATTAACTGCAGATTAGACACTTACAGAAAAAAAAGGTCAGTAAACTTTTGAAGACATAGAAACAAAAACTATCCCAAATAAAACAGAAAAAGATTTAAAACTTTAAATAAATAGAGATTCAGTGGGACAATATCAAGTGGTCTAACATACATGTAACGCAGTCCCAGAAAAAGGGCACGGAGGTGGTTAAATTTTTGAAGAAATAATGGCTAAAAATTTTCCAAAGTTAATCAAACTAAATCCAAGAAGCTCAATAAATCTCAAGTAGGATAAACAAAAGATATTTTCTTTTTTGCTTTTATTTCTTTAAAGCCCAAATAATAATGTATTAATAGAGTTTATAATAAATGTAGACGTTAAATGCAGGACAACAATAGCACAAAGGTTGTCAAGTAGAAAATCATTAAGTCACTGAGCTTTTCAAATCGTTTATAATTGGAGCACAAGTTATCCTGACTGATACAATAACTAAACCAAAAACTGATCAATTGGATTATAAACCACCTGAAGGGAAAAAAAATGCATTAGCAAAAGACGACTAGGCTGCATGTGGCAGAGGCCAGAAAACAAGAATTCCAAATTGGGCCCCTAGTTTACTGCTGAGAGGAGAGGGTGTCCTCAATATCAGACACCATATTCCTAAAGATGATGTATGTATCAGTTATGATTCGATGACTTACCCGCTAAGATTATCTCTGCCCCTCCATGATTACTTACTCTGACTATAATTTGGCTTATCAATTAGTGCTTCCTTTCTGAATACCTTTTTGTATGATTATATTTTTTGCTTAAAAAAATCTTGAAATGTAAAAGGCACTAGAATAATCAGATTAAACTTAGCTCATTAGATACTGTTCAAAAACCTATTAGCCTACACTCTCTAAAATTGGCAAGATCACTTTAGTTAATTACATCTTCAAATCCTCTCCATCTATTCTGCCTTGTATCTTTTTTTACCTTTTAAAATTTTTAATCAAATTCCGTAATTCATTATAGCATATTTTAATCCAACTTCACTAAGATGTAGAACGACAGCATTTTTTATAATTTTCTTAAATTCTTAAATTCTAAATTATTAGGCTTTCAGTACTGAAGCCTAAAATGGGTCATGAAAAAAATTTAATTTCAAACAGTGATGACACAGGTACAAAAGAATTTTTTTAATGAAATCCTTTGACTTCTTCTTTTCTTCTTACCCTTTTCTTCCTAGTCTCTTCTCTCCTCCTTATTTTGTGATTTTCATGGAAGAGAAGCTATTGAAAATAAGGGCTCCCTTCACCTATTTTTTGGTTCCTTTTTCAAATCTGTTAATTAGTTAAAGCAGGAAGTGTTTTTTGATTGCTGCTATTGTGAAAACAGGCAAAAATGTGTTGTTGATCTTAATAAACGTTTACAGCTGATTTGTTCAGAAGGATAGTGTTAATGAGGCCAAGGTCAAGGAATGCTGTTTTTTCAGAGCTTGCTAACCACCTTATGCTTCATAGTTACAATCTTTGAATCAGAAATATCACACTTGTATAGTGACATCACAGTATTAACCTACAAAGCTATTCAGGGACACAAAACGCTATTGTGCTCTTCCAAAGATAAAAATCATTACTATCTATAAAATTCAAAATTAAAGACAAACCAAAAAGAAATAAGAAACACAAGGGTTAGCAGTTGGTACTCTAAGAGTTACAGTAATGAAAAATGAGATTTAGAAAATCAAAAATACATATCACATAGTACTTAGCCCAAGTACATGACAAATAAAGATGTCAATACAATTTTAATGTGCTTTGCCAACCTACTCTGTTTCTTATAAGTATAGATGTTACAATTGCAATATACTATACATCTTAATGTATTAGCTAAAAGATGTAAAAACTCACCATAAGCACAAATATGAGAACTGCTTATTCAAAACATTTTAGTAATTATACATAACCCCTCAGAGTTCCAAAATAAAACCTCTATAAGTGTAGAAAATTACGAGCCATGATCAAAAAATACCGTGAATGTTAAAATTTAAAAAAAAAATATTACAGTAAAAGACACATCCATTAATTCCCCTCAAAACACTCCCTTTCTCTTCGAACACACTCATCCCATCATTCTTGCCACTTTCTGAAGCAGTTCTGGAAGTCCTCTTTTGTGAGTGTCTTTAGTTGCGCTGTCATGGCTGCCTCGATGTTCTGAATCGATTCAAAACGTTTACCTTTGATGGTCATTTTGACTTTGGGAAAGAGCCAGAAGTTGCATGGTGCCAGATCGAATGAATAAGATGTATGAGGACACACCATAATGTTTTTGACAGAAATTGCTGTACCAAAGCGGTGTGTGAAACGGAGCCTTTCCACTCTGATAAAAAAAATACGGTGAATGCTGCTGCCGAGTGCCACCCAACAGAAAGGCAGGAATTTTCAATATGGGAAGTGGTGCATCAAACCTTAGTAACAGTGTGTGACAAGTTTCAACTTGTTTAGTACAGTCAGTCGGGTGTGAGCTATGGTTGAGAGAAGGTGTGTTTTAAAGTGTGCCATAAATCATCCTCCGTCATGACAACTCTCTGTGTCACACATCGCTTCTGGTGCAGCAATTTCTGTCAAATAAAAACATTACAGTGTGTCCTCATCCACATTGTTCACCAGACCTGGTGCTGTGTGACTTCTGGCTCTTCCCCAAAGTCAAAATGATTCAGGACATCGAGGCAGCCATGACAGCACAACTAAAGACACTCACAAAAGAGGACTTCCAGAACTGCTTCAGAAAGTGGCAAGAATGATGACATAAGTGTGTTCAAAGCAAGGAGGAATATTTTTGAAGGGCATTAATGGCAATGTGTCTTTTATTGTAATACATTTTTTTTTATTTAAACATTTACCATATAGTTTGATCACACCTTGCAAGTAACATTTTATTTGAGACAGGCAGCAAACTTTGACAAATTAAGACATCGAAGTATTCCTATTTGAACATGCTAGCTTAATCTCCCAAAAACTATTTTATTGAATCTCACTTGTCAAAATGTTTTAACATTTACCTATGCTATAATCAGGGAAATACAAGACAAATGGCTCAAAGCATCCAGTATTTGGACGAAACTTTTCCCAAACAATTTCACTGAGTAAGATAACCGTCACATTTCTGTCAGTCTGTAAAAGAAAAAGAAATAAAAGTAACTTTGCATTTAAAAATCTTTATCAGAGCAATAATTCCATTTGAATTTTTCTTTCAAATAAATCCAGCAAAGTTCTAACATATAACAAATTATTTGCATATTAATAAGCCATATTTAGAAAAACCTAATCAAGGAGTACCTCCACTAGCAAATTTCCATACATAATTACTTGGAATTTCCATAAAACTTTTAGGTTAATCAACATTGCAGTTACCCATGAAGGCTAGGACAGTCAGTCACACAAGGACTTATTTTATAGAAATTAAGAAACACATTTGCTTAAATAATTAAGATAAAACCTTTTAATGGGGATTTTCAAAAAAAATCATTAACTTCAATAAATAAACAAAAAAAGGCTCAACTTAACATCTCTCATAATTAAAATGGCTACTGCAACCAAGAAAAAAGAAATATGAATTGAAGAAAAACCGATAAGCCATATTATATAACCACATATTAGAAAAATTTTAAGTTTTTAAAAGGTTATTTTCATACAAATTATCACATAAAATTGATGTTGAATATACATCAAAAACACAACCAAGTATGCATGTTAGTTATCTAACACATCAGAGTTAAGTAAACAGACATCTTTTGAAATATATTTAGAAATTATAATTAGCATACGAAAAGAGAACACTGGGAGAACAAACTTACTGTGTATGTTATCTTTCCACAGGGTGGCCACAAATGCCCTATGCGTACTAGTTAGAATTTATCTGTAGATAACTCTGCATTCTCAAAACAAATTTTAATTTTCCCATATTCTTTTGACATCTCCCAAGTTGACAACGCAGACATGAAAGCTGTTTTGTTCTGTAACTATTCTTAGGATCCTCACTCATAAATAAATACTTTGAAGGTGATTTACTATTTATTGATTCCTAACTTATGTGTAATCTTATATTCCAATATTATTTAGAAAAAGTTATTTTGACTAAGGCAGTTGAGTTCAATAAATTAATAATTCCACAAAAATCTAGCATCTTTATGAAATTAAGGAAAAGATGTTTATTTTCAAATGCTCTTTTTGTCTTATAAACTTATTAACTTTTAAGATTCCTTGAATTTATTTCTATAGGGATAAAAAAGTATGCTCCAAACACAATGCTGATTCAAAGCATTGAGTTATTTTTGCTTTAAAATATGATTATCCAAAAGCATTTTATAAAGTTAAAAAATACTGAGAGGCTTAAAAAATGTACTTATCAGTCTGAAAGGATTTTAAGTTGATAACGTTCTCATCTGTTCATCTGAAACTACTTTCAATATACAATGTCTATCATAATTTCAACTTCATTTTACTCAGATAAATATTTACTATAAATAAACAGGAAATGCTTTTGCTATATTTCTCTTAAGTGAAATACATTTTTGAAAATCAAGCATGTTTTCAGAAACATTAAAACAACAATTCTCTTTTCTGGTAGAGTAGAGATTACCGTGACTTTTTAAGTTTTCTTCAGTTTCCATAATTAAAACAAAAAAAATTGTGAAAAGCCTAACTACTGTGACGGGACGCATAATCACCATTACCGGCCAGGCATGAGGAGGGAAATGCAGTAAGCTATACTGGAAGGGAAGGAAGACAGCAAGAATGCATTCTGGATACCAGACAGGGAGTTCTAGACCAAAGCAATGGATAGTGGGTGTGAATGCAAAAAAACAAACACAACAAAATAATAAAAGAGAGGAGAAGACATCTGCTCAAACAAGATGGGTCCCTGATCTTGGTAGTAAGATGCCAAGAGTTAACCAAACTGGGAAAGGCTAGACTGTGTGAGGAAACTTCTAGGATAGGCCACCAAGAGCTACATAATCTCCTCCTGTCCGCTCCATATTGGAAAACTATTACTGAAAGTGAATTGTAGGAGTCAGCCTTAGGCGCACAATGATTTCAGTGGCACTTGCAAAGCCTCTCCGAACTTGTAACCATTTCTCAAATCTAAGTAATGTGTTTAACTTTTCTTTTTTTTTAAGCTGAGCCATCCTGCCACCTGTTGGCAGCTCAGCTCGGGCCGGGACTCTAACCGCTGTTGCTCAGAGCCTCTGCACTCTTGAGCGAGCTCTTAACCAACTGAGCCACTCGGCCGGCCCATGTTTAACTTTTCAAAGGTAGAAATGCTCTAAACACTACCTCTCCAAATATTTAATTAGTTTATATATAATAAAAGTCAATTAAATATTTGGAGAGGTAGTGTTACTTAATACTTAAATAGATATAAAACTAGGTAGATATAAACTATTTATGCTCAAAGTGCTTACAAAATTATAAAACCAAAATAAATTTATAAGTTAAATACAAAACTAGAAAATCAATAAAATTTAAATTAACATAGTAACTATGATAAACAGTACTGTCTGCTCAAACTAAACCATGTTCACAAAGTGAAACAGTCACAGCTCTTTTGAGTTCAGCATTCCTATACCAACTGGTATTGGTGAACACTGAATTCTCTCACCAATTTTCTTTATTTAAACAACTGTAAAATCCTGTTTGTGCCATAATATTATTTGGCTTTCACCTGACACATATGCATATTAAAAAATATTCCTGCTCTGTTCCCAGACCATCACAATTAGAGCAGTATTAATGCTATTAAGGGCCAATACAATTGTAAATGGAAATACAAAACTGGTTCTGACACTCAGTGGCCATGACATAGAACCCAAGATGATTCAGAATAGACATACCATTTTTTTTTTAGATTATTGAAATGAAAAGAAAATTTTAAAATTCTTGCAGAAAGTTCAGTCTAGCCCAGTCACATTTACTCTAGCAAGCACCTAAAATCTTTTAATAGAAAGCAGTGTTAGTCACTTATAATTAGAAATAAAAAGCTAATATAATTGAAGAATAAATGTTATCAAGTCACAAATTGTTTTAATTTTGAAAAATGCTAATTTCCCTAATAGAGAAATGCAAATTAATACTGTATTAAGAGATCATTTCTCCCTATCAGATTGGCAAAAGTAAAAAGCTGACAACACAGTCTATTGATTAGGCCACAGGGGAAAAAGACTCTCATACATTACTTACCAATTCTTGTAACCTAAGAAATCCAGGCAAAATATTCGCTTCCATATCTCTTAGATATTCTGCTTTATCTAGAACCTTATTAAAAAACAAGTAGCAACAAAATCAATTTGCAAAGCCCTTTTACAAAACACAATTACAAAATTACAAAAATTAATAATGCACAATTCAAGAATTAAACTTTCTATGTTAAAAACTGTAACATGAATTTTTAAATGCTATTTACATCTGTGGAAGATGTTTTAAATAGGTCAAGTAAGTTAAAAAACAGACTATTTATGATATGTTTTAATTCAAATTTCTAAATAGAAAAATGAGTCACAGCTACATTAAAAAGGTTTATTTTTCAGGTATACTATCAAAAAGATAATGGTATAATATACTCTAAGAACATTTTCTTAAGTTTAAAGAAATACAACCATGTGCATTTTTTATTCCATTTGATAAAAGATAAATGTCCACTGTGAACCAAAATACAGCTCTTTCTGACCTTAAAGAAAGACACACAAGAAAACTGTGAATTTCATCATGTAAAAATTTTCTCGTTTGAACTTTAGCTACATGCTAAACCCTGTTTGACTGGATAATAGATCATGTTAAGATAAAAATTTTTGTTCAGTGTTATGGCAATGCTATTGGGATTATGTTTGTTTAAAAGGTACTTATCTTTTAGGGATATATAGTATATATACTATATACAGAAAGATACAGTACATATGTATAGATTTATGAGTGACATACATATGATATACATATAAGTAGATATATAGATATAGTACATATTTTTTTTGGAAAACATGATGTGATTCAGGAAACAATGAATGGGGTACAGATGATACAAAAGTCTGGCCACATGTTAATAATGATTGAGCCTGGGTGATGGGTTCATTTGGGTACACTACACTATTCTGTTTATATATTTGAAACTTCCATTTAAAAAAACATTAATTTTTTAAAAAAAAACTTTCTGAAGAGGCATCCACCTGTCCATAAAAAAGTCAAGGTCTTAAAAGCACTATTTAAAACAATTGCGCTAACAGGTTTTTACTTTTTGTTATGGAATTTTAAAACATACACAACACTAAGGAGGTTAGTACCGTGAATTCCCATATATATTTCACCCAACTCAAACAAATATCAACATATGGTCAATCTTGTTTCTTCTATCCACCGTGCACCATCTTGCTGGATAATTTAAAGCAAACCCCAGACATACCATTCTCTGTAAATATGTCAGTATGCAGCTATAAAACATGAGCACTTTTTTTTAAACATAACTACAGTATCATTATCATACCTAGAAAAGTTAAACAATATTCCTTACTATCATCTAATAACCAGAGTTCAAATTTCTCCACTTGTACCATAAATGTCTTCTTAGAGTTAGATTATTTGATTCAGGATCCAAAAAGGTCCCTACATTGCATCTGGTTTGTTTCTTGTTTGTTTTAAATAACAAACCATCGAACCATCTTTTTTTTCCCCTTTTTGTTAGGTCATCTGTCATGTAGAATTTTCCAAATTCTGGATTGGCTGGTTGCATTTCTGTTGTGTCATTTAATATGTTCCTATATCCTCTATATTTACTGTAAAATAATCAGTAGATTTAGACTTTTGATCTGATTCAGGTTCAAATTTTGGGCAAGAACACTTCACCAAGAGTGCTGTGATCTTTCTTACTGAATTACATCAGCAAGCATACAATACCTGGTTCTCTCTTTTTTGTGATGTTAAAAATGACAGGTTCAGGTGTTATCAGCCTGATCCATCCATTATGAAGTTCCCCAGCAGCTTTTCTCCTAATGATTTCAGCATCAACTGCTGATCACTGCCTATATACATTAAGGACTGCAATTATTAATTAGGGATTAAAAAACTATAATCTCCTATGATTCTTTCTGCATTTATTGGATGACATTTTTGTAGAAAGAGCTTTCCCTCATCCCCTATTTGGCTACCCAGAAATAAAGTTCACACAGGACAAGAAGAATACATGCTTGATTCTCCCTTTATGTGCCAATTTTCAGAATAACAGGTGTGTGCCTGTATTAGCTTTCTGTGGTTGCTATAATATATTACTACAAGTTTGGTGGCTTAAAACAGACTAAAAATTCATTCTTTCACAGTCCAAAGTCTGAAATCAGTTTTGCTGGGCCAAAATCAAGGTGTTGGAAGGGCCCCACTCCCTCCAGCACCTCCATTCCTCGCCTCTCCCAGGTTCTGGTGGCTGCCAGCACTCTGACTTGTGACTGCATCACTCTAATTTTCCAGGCCAGCATCTTCGAGTTTCTCACTCTTGCTTGCCTCTGCTTCTGTTTTCCGGCCTTATCCTCTGTGTATGTGGTGCAGTCAAATCTCCCTCCGCGTCTCTCCTATATGGACATTGTGGTGGCATTTAGGGCCTACACGGATAATCCAGGTAAACCTCCCCATCCCGAGATCTTTAACTGAATCACATCTGCAAAACCCTTTTGCCAAATGAGGTAACACACTCAAGTTCCAGGGATTAGGACCTGCTATCTACAGGGGCCATTATTCAGCCTACTGCAGCACTCTAAGAAATTAAACTCCCATGGTCACCAATGAGCTGAGGTTTTGTGTTTTTTATATATTTGTTTAGAACAGAGGTTCTCAGCCTGTGGGTCGCAATGCCTTTGGGGGTCGAACAACCCTTTCACAGGGGTCACCTAAGACCATCGGAAAACAAAAAGATACTTACATTACGATTCATAACAGTAGCAAAATTACAGTTATAGAGTAGCAACAAAAATGATTTTATGGTTGGGGGTCACCACAACATGAATAACTGCATTAAGGGGTCACGGCATTAGTAAGATTGAGAACCGCTGGTTTAGAATCATTATGAATTCTTGAATTTTAACATGTCTACTGTGCTTGCATCCACTGGATTTGTTATTCTTTTTGATGGTCAAATTGTCTCATCTTCGGACAGTTGAAGTCCCTTCAAAATGGCTTGTTTTCTTCCTCCAGCTTTACTGAGATATAACTGACACATAATAGTGTGTAAGTTTTAGGTGTATGAGTTGATCTGACACGCTTATATATTGCAAAATGACTACCACCATGATGTTAGCTAACACCTCTATCGCTTACATAATTACCATTTCTTTTTTGTGGTGAGAACATTGAAGCTGTACTCTACTCTTTTAGCAACTTCCAAGTATATAATAAGCATTATCAGCTATAATCACTATGTTCTACGTTAGAATCCCCAGAACTTACCCATCTTATAACTGGAAGTTTGTACCCTTCATCCAACATCTCCCCATTTCCCTTACCCTAGCCCCTGGGTAACCACCATTCTACTCTCAGTTTCTATAGGTTTAGTTTTTTTAGATTCTACATATAAGTAAGATCATACAGGATTTGTCTTTCTATGATTTATTTCACTTAGCATAATGCCCTCAAGATCCATCCATATTGTCGCAAATGACAGGATTTCCTCCTTTCTCATGGCTGAATAACACTCCATGGTGAAAAATACTATAAACTGATCCTATTCAAAATGGAGTTGGACCGGCTGAGTGGCGCGTTGGTTAAGAGCTGGCTTGGGACGCCAGAGGGCCCCGGTTTGGATCCCACATATGAGGGCCAGTGACCCTGCCCTCTACAGCTAAGATGCTGAACAACAGCTCAACCTGGAGCTGGGCTGCCCTGAGTCGCTGGAAATGGCGTAGGCTGCAGCCCCTGTGGCAGTGGGTTGCCATGGGCGACTGTGTGTAGCCAGCAGCCAGCGTGAGCGGCCAGCAACCGCTGTGAGCGGCCGTCCAGAAGCTGGCGACTGATCTGCCTCGCCCAGGAAGAGCACAATGATGGTGCCAACTTGGGCCAGTGAAGCAACGTCCTCCGCAACTAGACTGGGGAACAAAACGACAGCAACTTGTCTGTTCCCCCTCCCCCAATTACCCAATAAAAATCTTAAAAACAAAAACAAAAACAAAATGGAGTTGAAGCCACCATTCTAGAGGAACTGCCTAGCACATCCTGTTCCTTGAATCTTTGTATTGGGCCAGGCCTTTGCACTGGGCTAAAATCAACATTGTTTTACAAACAACTGTTTGTAAAGTCAGCAGGAAAGCAGACATCCTGACCAAAATGACAGATGAGTATGGACTCTTATCTGCTGACTGAATCAGTAACCAATCATGTATAGCCAAGAGTAGCTCAGCCTGTTACCATCAACAGGAATTCTTTTTCTTTTCGTGTAATTATTCCTTTGCTCTTCTCATAAAAGCTTTTTGCTTTCACCCTGTAATAGGAACACTATTTGGGTTTCTGCCTAAATCTGTGCCACCCAAATTGCAGTTCTTTAACCCCAAATAAACACGTCTTGCTTCTCATTTCAGCTTTTTAATTTTAGGTTAACAATATACACTACATCTCATCTACTGACAGACATTTAGGTTGTTTCCATATTTTGGCTACTATGAATAATGCTGTAATGAACACGGAGTGCAGATATCTCTTTGAGAACCTGATTTCATTTCCTTTGAATATATACCCATAAATAAGCTTGCTAGATCATATGGTAGTTCTATTTTTAATTTTTGAGAAATCTCCATACTGTTTTTCATGGTGGCTGTACCAATTTACATTCCTACCACCACTACACACGGGTATCCTTTTCCCCATATCCTTGCCAACACTTGGTATCTCTTATCCTTTTTATGATAGGCATTCTGAAGGTGTGAGGTGATATCTCATTGTGGTTTTGATTAGAATTTCCCTGATGATTAGTGATGCTGAGAACCTTTTCATGGACCCATTGGCCATCTTTGGAAAAATGTAACTTCCTCTGCCCATTTTTTAATCAGATTGTTTTTTTTGCTACTGAGTTGCTTAAGTTCCCTAAATATTTTGGATATTAACCTATTATCAGATATATGATTTGTAAATATTTTCTCCCAGTTCCACAGGCTGCCTTTTCATTTTGTTGAGGGTTTCCTTTGCTGGGCAGAAGCTGTTTAGTTTGATGTGTCCCACTTCTTTAGTTTTGCATTTGTTGCCTTTGCTTTTGGTGTCAAATCCAAAAAAATCACTGCCAAGACTGATGTAAAGGAGATATTTTCCTGTTTTTTTCAAGGAGCTTTAGTTTCAGGCCTTATGTTTAAATGTTTAATCCATTTTGAGTTGATTTTGTGCATGGTGTAAGATACTGATCCAGTTTCATTTTTTTGCATGTGGCTGTGCAGTTTGCCCAACACCAATTGTTAAAGAGACTGTCCTTTCCCCATTGTATATTCTTGGCTCCTCTGTCATAAATTAATTGATCGTGTATATGTGGGTTTATTTCTGGGCTCTCTATTCTGGTCTGTTGTTTTGTGTGTCTGTTTTTAGTCCAGGACCATGCTGTTCTGACAACTACAGCTTTATAAAACGTTTAAAACCAGTAAGTGTGATGCTCTAGCTTTCTCAGGGTTTGTTCTTCTTTCTCAGGGATGTTTCATTATTCAGTGTCTTTTGTGATTCCGAAAAAATTTTAGAATTGTTTTTTCTATTTCTGTGAAAACTACCATTGGAATTTTGACAGGGACTGCACTGAAAGAACAGATCACTTTGGATAGCAAGGACATTTTAACGATATTAATTCGTTTGATCCATGAAACCCTGTGTCTTTTTTTAAATAACCCTAGTAGTAGTTGATAAGTCTCCTAGTTTTGTAACATGGCAAAATGTTCTAGTTTCCTCTTGTACAATTTCAACAAGAACTGAGATCACCCTGTCTCCAAAGAAAGCTGTTTTTTTAATCATTTACACTTTATTAATAGATTTATTGCAAATTATAATTATTTAAATTAGGAATAAAATTAAAATATAGGAAATATAAAATTATTTCCCTAAGTAGTACAAGTTGTATTATATCTGTTTTATTAAATAGGCTGCTTAAAACAATATATGAGTAATCAATTTAAGATTGATTACTAATTAACATTTCTAATTAGTTTAAACAAAATAAAGCCAAAATTATTTACTGCTAAAAAGGTATAAATTAGTCTCTCCACTATGCATTCGCATTATGCAATCTTCCCATCAATCTCCATTTAAATACCTCTCTGATTCAGGACACAATTTCAAATAAATTGGTCAATTTTTATGTCCATTTTAATATAGAACACAAAGCTGGAGCCATTAATTAATAGTTCATTCTGATTTAATATAGTTAATTATTTTATGGTATTCTAATAAATTATCCTCTTCAAAAGCAATTATCAGATAACTAATTCAGAGAAGTAAAAATTTTAATTCAGATCCAGGCATTTTTCTTAATAATTTACACAAAGGCATTCTAATAGACTCTTAATTTGTAAACTCGTTTACTGACTAGAAAACATTCTCAGCCACCTTTCTGTATTACTCCCTAAGTACTGAAGCTTACCAATTCGTATATTAGATAGCTGAACAGTCTATAGATTTACTCTAAAAAATGTTCTACACTAAATATCTGCAAACTTATCCACTCTTAACATTTAGTCAACTAACCAATACTTACTGAATGCCTACTTTAATCCATTGGGCCTGACAAACGAGGAGAGCCCTAATTACTCCTCACGGCTATTTCTAGAATATTGATTCTCCCTCCTCTCTAAAGACACACAGCTTTGAAATTCTACTTGTTGAAACCATTCACGTATTCTTGTATCATTCCTCTTCATTCTATAAATGTTATTTTCTGACTATCACTTCTCGATACAACTCCTACATTTTTTTGGATATTTCAAACCTACATAAATGACCCCTTCTGATATATGGCAGACTCTTAGTTCCTTATATTCCTCTCCACCAATGCTCTTGTCTCCTAACCTACCTCAGTGAAAAATCAACTTATTTCCTAGATCTGGTTTTTGAAGTGTGAGCTGTGGCCCCTTGGGGAGGCAGGAAGAATCCTTGATACATTTTCAGGGGGCTAAGAAGGTCAAAACTATTTTCATAATAATTCTAAAATATGGTTTGCCTTTTTCACCATGTTGACATTTGAACTGATGGTGCAAAAGCAACAGTGGGTTAAACTAGAGCCATCTTAGCATAAATCAAGATGGTCATGCTGCCAAACTATACTAGTCACTGTATTCTTCACTGTGCATTTGCATTTTAAAAAAAAATTAGATTTCCCTCTTCTGAGAAGATGGAATAGATGTACTTTTTCCTATTCTTCCTCCTAAGAATCTTGAATATTATATATAAAACAAACAGGGCTCTGAAAAGTGGAGAAGGCAGACAAGCTGCGGACCTCGGAACTGGAAGAAGGGCCACTCACCTCAGGGAATAAACTGCCTGAGCTGTCTTCCGCCTCACATATCGCAGATGTGCAGCTGAGGAAGCCAGCTGAAGGAAGGCCAATGAGCACAGACCAAAAAGCACCAACAACAGCCTGCTCTCTCCACCAAAGGACGAGAAAAGGGCAGCTTAGCAAGATTTCCAGGACACTGCCCTCTGCAAGTTTTCCTTGTGCATCACTGATTTCTTGTCTCCTGGTTTGTTCTTCCTCATCTCCTGAACACTGAAGTGCCACAGGCCTCAGTAATTGGACTCACCTGTTTTCTAAGTCACCCATTCTCTTGGTGACCTAATCCGGTTTTACAGCTTAAGTATGACTAGCTGTATGCTCACAACTCCAAAAAGCATCATCACATTGGACAGCAAAGTCAAGTGTCCAAGTTCCAATTCAACATCTCTACTTGGACTTAACATGCCCCACACTAATCTGCCGATCACTCCTTCGCCCACAGAAAGACCCGCCTGCTATAGTCTTCTCCACTCAGGTAACTGACAACTCCATCCTTCAAGGTGCACACAAACTTTTGAGTCATTTTGATTTCCTTCTTTCTCTCTTCCACCACACTCAACCAATCAGAAAATTCTGTCAACCCTGCCTTCAAAATCTATCCAGACATCTTACAACCTCCACTTCTACTGGTCTAAGTCAACATGTTTTGCCTAGACTATTACAAGTGCCTCCTAACTAATTGTATTAGTTTCCTAGGGCTGCCATACAAAGCACCACAGACAGGGTGGCTTCAACAACAGAAACGTATTGTTCTGGAAGCTGGAAGTCCGAGATCCAGGTGTTGGCAGGCCTGGCTTCCTCTGAAGGTGCTAGCAAAGAATCTGTTCCAGGTCGCTCTCCTGGCTTCTGCTAGTCCCTGGCCTTGTGGCAGCATAACGCCAATCTTTACATGGGATTCTCCATGTGCATGTCTGTCTCCAAATTTCCTTTTGTTAACGATACCAGTCATATTGGATTACGGGCCCAACCCACTCTGGTATGACCTCATCTTACTTAGAACTGCAATGACCCTATTTCCAAATAAGGTCATATTCTGAAGTACTAAGGGTTAGAACTTCAGCCTATGAATTTCTGGGGTAAACAATTCAATCCATAACACCAGTCTCCATGCTTCCATCCTTGCACGCTTCCGTTGATTCTCAACATTACCACTCTCCCCATTACTTAAACTAGTCCAGCCACAATGACTTCCCTGATATTCTTTGAATGCACTAGAAATGCTCCAATTTCCTTTGTACTCTCGTGTAAATCTTTTTGCTTGAAATATTCTTTTTATTTCAGACTTTTCATGGCTTGCCCCTCACTTCCTTCATATTTCAGTTGTTATCATCATCTCAGTGAGATCTTCCCAGTCTTCCCTATTTAGGAGAAGAACTACTCTCCCTCACCCACCTGATTCTCCCTTATTCCACTTTATTAATGTATCACATCTGACATACTGCATGTTAACTTGCTTATTATCTATCTTCCTCAACTAGACTACAAGCTACAAGTGGGCAGAGACTATTTTTTTCCCTGTTCTATGGCCAGTATCTAGAATAGTGCCTGACATACAGGAAGTGCTCAATAAATATTTGTTGAATAAATAAAGAAATTAAAATGTGGAAGGAATTGTTTTATATATTTAAGGAGATGCACATATGAATAAGATTTGGTCCCTTCGATGAGTTTATAACTTACTGTTTTAATAAAGCTTTATATTAAAATTCAATTCCAGTTCCAGAGATAATCATTTTTTAAAAGGTTAAAGTATTATTAAAAAATTCATGAATGTAAAACACATTACACATTTTCAATTAAATGCTAGTCTTTTTCACATTGATGTTACAACTACAATTCAAACTTAGCCAACATAAAATCAGTTGACTCACTTTCCCCAGAAATCTACCCTATACACAATAAACAGGTTGGACCTTTGGTGTCTCTTCCATTTATTCCTTTCTGCATCTCCTGCCTCAACTCTAGTCCAGGCCCAAATTTCCTCTAAAGTAAACTGCTACCAAAACCTCAAAATCATTCCTCCAGCCTTCAGTCTTTCATCCCCTCCAACAACATGCCTTCAGAGTAATCTTCCTAAAGCATATTTGTAGCTCTAAAATCTTCTCTATCTCTTCTCTCTACCTAGAAAATGAAATAAAGTACAAGACACTCCATGATCTGCCACCACGTACATTTCTAGTCTTTTTCTCCTCTCAAACTTACAACCCACTAAAACTAGACTATTTGACATTCCCCGGCCGTCATTTTTATCTGCATGCCTTTGCTTATATAATTTCTCCATCTGAAATTCCCATTCTTCAGTTTCTTCCTACGACAACACCCTAATCATCCTTTTAGATCTATCGCAAATGCTGTCACCTCTTGAAGCTGTACCAGATGTACCTAAGTCAGAACTTCACATCTCATGGTTATCACTTATCACATTCTGCATGTAGTCATATGTCAGTATATGCGTCGTAACTCTTCTATTAAACTGAAGCTCCCTCTAGATAAGAAATACATTTAAAACATTTTGTATCCCAAAAGCACCTTGCATAGTGCAGTGAACATGAGACTCAAAACAAATATATTAAAATTGAGCTAATAAACAAAACAGTTTTCAAATAAGAGATGATATAATTAAATTACTTACAATATATACAGTCTGATCCTTGAGACTTTTAGCTGTGGTTATTTGTTTAAATAGATGAACAAAGTCATTAAATGTGTCACAGGTTATTTGAGTAGAACATCCAGCCTCTGAAGAACTGAAATGATTCAACTTGTTTAAGATTTGTTCCAAAATCAGCCTCAAGGTAAAGCATTCAACACAATTCACAAAGACATGTGGGAGCTGAAAACAAAACACAAAAAAAGTATAAACAGAAAACATATATACAATAATGGCTCTGCTGGATATTCCCTATTTGCCCTTCTAAACCTACACCCCATTATTTTCCAACACGCTCTGTGTCCCAGCAGTCTGAACGCTGTATCGCCCAGACTCTCGTATTTTCCAGCACTGGCTGGATTCAGCCAATGCTAAGAACCAGACTGAAGAGTGATATCAGAGAGAAGCTGAATATTTATTCTCTTGATTCCCACCTCCACCCCTCAGTGGTCCAGTTTGACTGCAGCTATGACCTTCTATCAAAGGCCACAGCTCCAGCTGGGTAGCCCTTAGTCAAAGGCTACAGCTCTTGCTGGGGTCTGGTAACAGCTCCTTCCTGTGGCCAGTTCAGGTCTGGGAGAGGTAAAGGCCCTCAGTGCTTCACCAGCCCTTATCATTCCCTTGACATTTCTTGAACCTTTGTAAAATATAGTCCCTTCATTAAATTCACTTCAATTATTTGAGTTTGCCATTTGTTTCCTACCGGCATTCAAAGCAAACTTGTATTTTCCACTAAAGACTTCTTACAAGAAAACCCAAGTACATTTGAATGTTAAAATTTTTAGTGGAAATTTTATGCTTATAAATTTAAGATAATAACATTAATGATGAATGAACTTAGATCAAAAGAAGAATTTTAAGAGTTAGAAACCATATTAATCCTCCTATGAGAATTGAGAATCAGCTCTTCATTTAGGGAACTATCAAAATGGAGAGAATTCCTGAAGTAACCAGGAAACAAAAGACTTGCTCACAAATATAGTCTCTTTTCAGGATGAAATCACAGTCGTGATCATTCAGAGGAAGGTAACTTGTGGCATCTGGGACAAATAATGGGACCTCTAACTACTTTTAGAGATAGTCTATAAATCTCACCCAATAAGGGAGGCTTTTCTTTCTCTGAGTAATGTGGTATAACTAAGGCTACATTATATTTACTTAGGCACTGTTTCTCCAGCATTTGCTGACCTCCTTTACCCCCATTCCTTTATAAATTCACAAGTTGTATGTGCCAAGCATGTGCTTGGTGCTGAGGGTAATCTCAAGAAACTCGATCTTGAGCCAGTGAAACACAAATGCAATATCACAGCTGAAAGGGCTCTAAATATTATGACAGAATGAAGCACAGAGTACTGAGGATGCACAACAGAGGAGAATCTAACACACCCTAGGGAGTCACCAATGGCTTCACAAAATATAAGAACCCCTAGCAAAATACATAAGCATTTGCCAAGCAATACACTAGTAGAGGCCGAGTGAGTGAGTATAGGAAAGCCATTCCAAGTGAAGGCAGCAGTATGTGCCCAGGCTTGAAAGTAAGCGAGCAGGAACTGTAAGTCGTTCAGTATGCCATACAAAACATGTACCTTCAGAGCTAGAGCTTAGGACTGGGGTTAGCAAACTGCAGCCTGTGGGCCAACCATGTTCTGATAAAGTTGTATTAGAACACGGCCATACCCATTCAGACAGATACTGTCCACAACTGCTTTCACACTACGGCAGAGTTGAATAGTTGTGATTGAAACCATACGGCCTACAAGTTTACAATATTTGTTATCTGACCCTTAAGAAAAAGTTTGCCCATCCTGGCTTAGAACATGAAAGAGAGTATGGCAATAATCATTAATAATAGCAGCTACCCTTATTGAGCGCTTACTATATATTAAGTACTGTACTAAGCACTTTTCATGTATTAACTCATTTAATTCTCACAACAATTCCAAATGTTGTCACTTTTAGCCCAACTTTTCAAATGGTGAAAGCGCCAAATGTCAATTCCAGAAGCAGAACGTGAGTCTGCCAGACTCTACAGCCCAAATTCTTAACTATTATATTATGAAAGTTAAACTGAACTCAGCTCATGAAAGGTCTTATGTGTCAGACAAAGCACCTGAATATTTCCCTAGTGATCTTAAGTAAGATTTTCATAAGCTAACAACAGGGTGAAGAGTGAATTACACTGAAGAGACTATTGCAGGGCCGGCCGAGTGGCACGATGGTTAAGAACTCGCTTGGGATGCCAGAGGGCCCCAGTTCGGATCCCACATATGAGGGCCAGTGACA